AGTGCACGGGCCTCCAGTCAGAGCTCCCCCAAATGCTAACCCTGACAATCCACTTGTGTAGCAGCGCCCATGCTCGGCTCGGTTTTCCCACCGTGACGACAGCTACGTCCCGATGGCCCCACCCTCCCCTGCAGAGCTCACCGAGTCCCAGCAGTGGGCAGGTGCACACTCAGGACTGGGGACACGGGCTGTGCCATGGGAAAAAACTGAAGGCAACTGCTCGCAGTAGCACAGGAGCAAGGAGACAGTGACATCTGTGATGCTGACCGCTCTTACAGTGAGTTCTGGCCATTATCTCTCACTTCAGTAACAGTGGGAGATAATCTATGGATGAAAATCAGTCATATAGGGCATTGCATGGCTTCTCCAAGAAAACATTCATCAGCAAGTGCTTAAGTGAATTTCACGTCTTGGGAAATCTCTTATCACTGCTATTTTTTAAAAAACAATAATCTATTTGAGTAGATGTTAGACATCAGATTAGACATTAGCCTCTGAGCTGCATATTTATCTTCATGCTATCATTTAAACACTCAAAGACAATGAAACAAGCCAGGTTCTCCAGGGGCCCTCATCCACCGAGCTGCATGCACGTTAACTCAGCAAGGCCCTGTCTCCATCCACAGGGAGTCAGCCCATCTTGGAGCTGTGCCCTCTGGAGTCCTGGGCTCCTGTCTGTTTGAAGCAGCATCTTTTCCTTCTGACTAATTGGCACCCTTCACCATCCGGGGTGCAACATTCTGAGATGATGCTGAATTTGTAATACTGGGATTATGTTTTAACCCAGTTAATCTAGACCTAGGATGTTCTGTGATGATAGAAAACGGAACTGCTCTGTGTCCCATTTTGTTGGATCACATTTATGTCTGAGAATCTGTCAGAGGAAATGAATTCTTACAACACCTAGCTGTTCCTAATTAGCAGCAGCCGTGCCACCAGAGAGAAATGCAGACACACAGAAAGCTAGGTCCTCACAGAAGAAACTGTGTCTCCCTCCTGCGCCATCTCCCTTCAGCTGCAGTTTCTGCACAGACTAGAAGGTCTGGTTATCATCAGCTTTGGCGCACAGTTTCTCTAAAAGTATCTTCCAGAACCCCATCATCCCTTCCTCTCTCCCTTCATGACTAACATGAAGAATTCATAACACATCTGCAGTTTCCTCAGCGACTCCTTGCCTTGTGGGCTTGCCCTCCACCTCACTGCTGTGCTGAAACGCTCCCCCAAGTCCTCAAGACCGTCTGGACCCCACAGCTAATCACTGCTTTGCCAGCCTCCGTCCTGGAGAGCTCTCTGCCACACTTGGCATCACTAACTACTTAAATCTGTGAAGCCGAAGCCCTGGATTCTGTTTCACAGTAATCTTTCCCTTCCTCTGCAATTAACGTTCTCTAAATTCTTCAAAGATCCACTTGTGAAAGCGCTCCAGAAGTAGGAAGATTCTCCGAGTTTCGGTTCCCAGAAAGCTTTTTGCTTCCCTCAGCTTCTCCGTTGGCTTCATCTGCTTTCAGAGCTCTGAGCCTTAGACGGGCACAGGTCATCCCCAAATGTGCCAGTTCTTGCCCCCATCTCTCCACCAACACCAAACACCTGCTTCCCACTGCCTGCTGGAGCCCTCCAGCTGAACGACCCGTCAGTCCTTACACCCCCATAAATACCTCTCGAGCCAAATGTAACCTCTTCGTCTCAAAACTAGTCCTTTCGAAGTTTCCTGGTTTTGCCAGTGACACCAGCATTGTTTCAGCCCCTCAGCACTGAAGCGTCAGCACGGGCTTGGCTGCCTCCTTCCTGTCTGGACAGGGCTCACTGCCCAGTTGAGCTGACTCCCCCGCGCTTCTCGCGCCCAGCCCCTCC